TTTCTGGACAGTACCAGGTCCCTTCGAGGTCAATTCCTTCCGGACCCAGTATTCTGCACCATTCCTCCACAATGGCCTTCAACAGTTGTACCCAGTGAAGCTCCACGTTTCTCAGAGGAGTGAGCCTCTCCAACAGTTCTCTTCGGAGCCTCCATGTTCCCAGCAGCGGATCCCATAGGTCACCCACTGTAACCACACCTTTCCGTATCCATGCTAAGCCAAAGGAGGTTGTTGAGCCATCGGCTTTAAACCAGCTGCCCTGTTCATTCACGATCTGAGGATTTTCGAAGAGGATTTGGTCTTGGACTTCCTCTTTCGTCACCGGCTGAGTTCGCCCGTCTGGCGGTAGCTTTCCCCAGGCTTTGAGGACTTGTTGCCAGAAGCGTGATTTCACTCGTTCCTTTGGAAGGACTGGATGAACATACAAGACCAAACGTCCTGCGGTCGACACAAGTCCCACTCCTTCATGAGAATCTGTTCTGCTAGCTCCATCCAGTGTTCCTTCACTGCAGCGTTAGCTACTCTTAGCAGTCACATGCTGAGCTGGGCCTGGTTCTTACTTACGGGGTCCACCAAGTTCAAGCCTCCTTCACACCGCGGAAAGGTCAAAAGCTCCTAGGCAACTTTTATCAGACAGGCCTCCCCTTCTTTGGCCCTCGGTTTCCAGATAAAGCGTGCTACCAGCTGTTTGATGGTCTTCCAAACATTGTCCGACACCTCCTTGACAGAACTCACGAACCACATTATAGAAAAAAGGGCCGCATTTGCTGCTAACGCTCTCCCAATGATCGACAAATGCCACACCACGCCCCATGATCTCAATCTTGTTGCTATTCTTTGCTGCAGCAGCAGGCCTTGAGTGGAAGCATCGATATGAAGGGTGACCAGAACTCCTAGAAACCTTTCCTCCTCCCCTTCTAAGATTCTTTTCAGCAGGAATACCGATTTATTCCAGTTAACCGATGCTTCAGACAGGGCCAAGTACTCCGTGAGGGTATCCTTCAGAGCAGACAGGGATTCGTTGGAGTTCTCACTGACGACGAAGAGGTCATCTGCAAGAGCCTCGACTTTGCACTGTGCGCCACTGTTCAAAGTCAGTCCTTTGATTCTTTGATTTCTTCGCAGTCTGTGAAGCAGGACTTCCATCTGCAACACGAAAAGACGTGGGGCCAGCGGGCAGCCTTGCCACAACGAACATGTGAGTTTGAAGGACGCTGACAGATGTCCATTAATCATTACCGCTGACGTCGATAGCGTATACATTGCCACCATCCACTTACAGAAAGGTGTGCCAAAGCCCATTCTCCTCAGAGTCGTGAACACGAACGACCATCCAACTTTGTCATACGCCTTTTCTAAGTCTAACAGTAGAATGGTCGTATTCATATTCTCTGACTGCACCCATTCCAGCACCTCCAACGCTGTGACTATGTTATTAAATATCGAACGCCCTTGAACAAACGCGGCCTGATCTCCTTCTACCAAATTCAGTAGATAGCGCCCCAACCTTCGCGCCAGTGGTTTGGCTAAGATCTTATAGGACACTTTCAGCAGCGAGATTGGCCGCCAATTCTTGACTTTTGTCTTATCCCCTTTTTTTAAAAGCATACTAATCACCCCATGTGTCATCCCTCTTCCCAGAAAGCCCCCCACTAAAACCTGATTGTACAGTTCGACCAACTTCGGACACAACGTACCCCAAGCGACACTATAAAACTCAACAGATAGGCCATCAATGCCTGGGGATTTCCTCTTTGCCATGGACTTAACTGTCTGTGTAAGTTCTTCCAGGGAGACCGGTCGATCAAGATCTAGCCTGGTCGTGTTTGACAATTTCACATTCGTATCCTCCCACATGTACGTGTCGGTTGAGAGGTCCATTGTTGGATCTTCCTGCGGACGTCTAGAAGTGAGGATATCCTCGTAGTAAAGTTTTGCGTAGTGGAGCATGCCTGCAGCAGTGGAGACATTCAGAGCATTGCAGTCAAAGGGGTGTCGAAGTTCTACTGTCTGTTGATGGGTCCGTCACGGCTGCAGCTTCTAAAAAGTTTCCTTCGTCATCTGATCATGATACTTGATCCCTTTTTCTGTAAGTAACTCGGCCCATCTCTTCTGCTTGTTCTGCTGGATCTTGTCCCATCCCCCCATTCTGCGTTCCCTTTCTGCAGCCCACACCATTGCTGATATGTGTCAGTTCTTCCAGGGAGACCGGTCGATCAAGATCTAGCCTGGTTGTGTCTGACAATTTCACATTCGTATCCTCCCACATGTACGTGTCGGTTGAGAGGTCCATTGTTGGATCTTCCTGCGGACGTCTCGAAGTGAGGATATCCTCGTAGTAAAGTTTTGCGTAGTGGAGCATGCCTGCAGCAGTGGAGACATTCGGAGGATTGCAGTCAAAGGGGTGTCGAAGTTCTACTGTCTGTTGATGGGTCCGTCGCGGCTGCAGCTTCTGAAAAGTTTCCTTCGCCATTTGATCATGACACTCGATCCCTTTTTCTCTAAGTAACTCGGCCCATCTCTTCTGCTTGTTCTGCTGGATCTTATCCCATTCCCCCATTCTGCGTTCCCTTTCTGCAGCCCACACCATTGCTGATATGGGATGACCCTCTATACGTGCTTCCGCTTCCTCTACTCTTTTCCTCCATTCCGCTTCCTTCACATTCCTTTCTTTCACCAAAATTCGAGAGCACACGTCCAAGATCCCAGATACACTTGCCAATCCTCCATCCAACCACTCTGCTGAATCAGCAAAGTAGTTGCTTGCAGACTCTCATCTATTCATGTGGTCACCCATTCGTCGATCCGTGGGTTCTCTAGAACCTGCTTGTTCAATCTGAAGAACCCTTTGCCCCTCTCACACCCCTCTTGAAGTTTGATATCTGTTGTGACTGGCTTGTGATCCGAAAGTGGGCTACTTGCGTGCTTCACAGTTGTTACTCGCGGCAACAGGTGGTCGCATATCAGCAAGTAGTCGAGGCGACGTCTGGTTACACATTGTCTGTTGTGATGCAGGTGGGAGAACCAAGTAAAGCCCGGATCCTCCGGGTTCAGCAACCGAAAGGGGTCCGTAAGGGACAATACTTCGATCAGATGCAACAGACACTCGACATCCTTGTTGCTGGCAGTCCCCGAATCCGGGCGGAGAGCGTCGTCTAAGGACCTGTTCCAATCTCCCGCTAGTATGACATTGTCTACTTTCGGGATGTTGGAGAGCAGGGTTCTAAAAAAACCTTCTCTTTCCCTCGAATTTGTTGGTGCATACACTGTCATTAGGATCCATTCGTTTGTTCCCACTTCCACTCGCATCCACGCCCAGCGACCCCAAATGTCCGCCTCTTTGTTAATCACTCGAACTTGAAGGTCTCTGTGCAGCAGAATGCAGACCCCCCCCCTCGTTCCTTGAGCAGGGGACCAGACTTGGGGGCCATCCCACCATGGTCCCAGGTCCTTAATCTTCTCCTCGTTCAACTTCGTCTCCTGAAGCATGACACAGTTTCTGCTCCACTCGTGTACCCAAGACTTCAGACCCCTCCTCTTGCCTCTACCATTCGTATCCCCCAACCCTCTGATGTTCCAAGAAGCTAACTTAAGCCTGCCCATTGTTTACATTTGTTCCCGCTGGAACTTGGATGCGGGTCTGTGGCTGCTGCTGGTCAGCGTGCTGTTGAACCCCTCTGTCTGCCCCTGTTGCTCTGGAGTCCCTGGAATTGCGAGAGGGTCTGGACCTGTCACGCGTACTACCATGGGACGAGTTCGAAGCAGAGAGGACCTGCCAGTCTTCTGTGAGTGCTTTGGCCAAGAATGGGGAAAGTAGGTTTTCCTCAGCCTGCAATTTCTCATTAACATTTCTCAAAACCAGAGCTGAGATGTCCGGTAAGATCTTGATGAGCTCCAGTTCCTGCATGTGTTGGTCTGATAACTTGGTCATATGTACCCATCTCACTCCCACCTGCGTCAGGGAGTTCGCCAGCTCCAGAGGGACACGTGCGTCTAATAACGGAAAATAGAGTTTATAGAAACGATCGCCCGATTCCACTATTAAGCTCACCATCGAGGACCGCGGGATCAGCCAGATGGGTACATGTTGGCCATACAGAGACTTTGTGAACTCAACGATTTCCGATGGTGTAGGGGAGTGGTCTACATCCACCGCCGACAACACTGGTGAGCCGTCCGGTTGCACCAAGGCCAGAAAATACACCCCGTCATTTCCATTGTATAGAGGATGGACACCAATCTTCTTTGCACCTTCTCTGCTTGACTCTTGCGAAGTGTGTCTGCTCTCCGATCTCCCATCTGTTCGAATTGACCTCTCCCATAATCTCTTCGTTTTCTGGTAACTTGGTGGCGGATGAACTCGGCATAGAGGATCGCTCACCCCCTGAGCCTTCGGACACCTTTTCCCCTTCATACCACCCACTTCCCCATCTCACCCCAGACTGTGAGGATGACGAGGTTTTCGACAACTCTCCTTACGTGCCTTCCGCATCTTCTTCTTGTTCAGGAATCTTCCTCATATCCCCTCTGTTTCCTGTTCGTTCCCCCGATCTGGATCTCGCTTTGTCTCATGACTTGGTTTGCACACCATCTCTGTGCCCTTCTCGTTCGTAGTCTCTCCACCTTTCGTCCTCCCTTCTGCCTCGATCTCTCCAGTTTCCCCTACAACCACTCCCTGACGCTCTCCCCTGATCCCTCCAATCCCCACTTGTACTTCTTCTTCCCAGTCTTGACGGTCCTAGTCTATATGATCTCCAAGATGGGCCTGGGGGCAAGGGGTGAGGCTCCCTGCAATGCAGAGACAGGTCCCTCCAGTCATAGGAGTTAATCGGGTATTGAGGACGCGGGCGGACCAGGGGAACCAGGGCCTGCGACTCTTGGTACACCTGTTCTAGTTGACAAAATTGCCGCAGATGGGGATCCTGTGGTCCTAGGCCCCACGAAGTGTCCTGCCAATGCACTTGATCAACCGGTGGAGTCACTCTTTCACCGTTGTAGCCGTCATTGAGCCAGTTTGATTTTCCCAACCATGGTGCCATGAACGATGGGCCTCCTGTGTGGTCCTCCGGTATCAAGTATCCACCTTGTCCGCCTAGCAGCAGCCATGGTACACGTGGTCTCGAACGCCCTGCCCCTCCTCCAGGATCATTCCCCTTGGTTCCCGTCCAGCTCCCTGAGAATTCTGGCCTTGCTCTCGTACCGGATGGCCGCTCTGTTCGCCTTGTCTCGACCTGTCTCCACTTCTAGCCTCTTGACTGCTCCACATGAACCTATCTCTCGTTCCCACTTGATCCGACCATCTGGGCTCCTGGGCTTGAGGCCTGTTCACTGCCGCTGCTGGCTGGGACGCCGTTGCTTCGCCCATGTTCGCTGCATGGGATCCTGCTTGCCTCTCCTGTCTCTCCTGTCTCTGTTGATACTGTGTGAGCCTCACCTTGTGACCCCCGGATCCAGCTATCTGACTTCCGCCTCTTTCCTCTCCTTGACGGATTCTGGGGCAATTGACTTCTGTGTGGAAGTACCATTTGCACCTTTTGCACCAATCCGTATACGGGGTAGCGATCTCCACAATCCATCTTTCCCCGGAAGGCGACTCGATGGTCAACACGTTGTCAACTTTCTCTCGGACCTCGGGCGACATGTCAAACTTCACGTTCATTAGTTTCGGCCTCGAGCTATCGTATTCTGGAGGATGCATCAGAAGCACGTCACCAAACATCCCTTGAACCGTGCTCCGCAAATAGTAATAGCCATCCAGGGGGACCCGCAGTGCCATTATCCAGAATTTCATCTCAGCTTCTTGTAATTTCATTGCTTTCAGTTCCTGCAAGGGGAGCCAAGGTTTGAATGTGACTACGTACTCCTCCGCATCTTGAAGCTTGATCTTCAACTCTTTTTGTTGGAGAAGCCAGGTGGTGATTTGCTCCGACCTAGCAACGTATGAAGCCACATTTGCTCCTTCAAACTTTACCCTCCCTCGCTCTGCACCTGGACCAAAAAGTCTTCTCACGAACCACCCATCTTCGTATGCCCTAATCAAGTCTTCCTTCACTTGCCTTGACAAGTGCCTTGCTCCTCCTTGGAACGTGACTATGACTGTGTGGTCCTTCAACCATACTTCCTTAACTGCGTTGACTTGACCGTTGACCACAAAGCGTTTCCCCTCTGCATCCTCAATAACTTCCCCCAACGAAGCATCGTCCGGACAAACTCCTTGCATGTAACATATGCCCACAAATTCTCTTAGTCTTTCCTCGGTCCTTGCCGTCGCCAATGGAGTCGGGGGAATATACCTCGCGTTTGCCATTTGGTTTGCCATCATCTTCTCTCTAGGGTGGCAGCTATAAAGACCTGTTTTCCCACTAATTTCAGAGTTAGGATAGATAATTCTCCTAGGTTATCGCATCGTGCTAATCCGAGGAAGATGCGCCTAGACCACTTATTCCTAGTCCGTTCCGACTAATACATCAGAAACCGGGAGTAACCTACCCTACTCTACCCCACAGGACTACCCGAGCGACCGACGTCAAACGCCTTTGTTGTAGCGGCGGGCATGGCCAATTCCCACTCTCCGTCTTGACGGTGGAGGACGTGGCTGGGCAGCGCCGTCGATAACGACGACAATGGTCCGAGGCGGAGCGCTACGCTACCCGCCCGCTTCGGCCGCTCCCCCCCCCCAGCCATTTTTTCGAAGTTGCGACTTGCATGCTCGCCCAACTTTCGGGGCTTGGCCTCCGGAGCAAAATGGCTGGCGGCGCCAACCAAAATGAGGCCCGCGTCGGTCCACTTTCTTTCGGGGCCCAGGGCGTTTTTTTTTCAGCCCCGGACAAACGTGCCTGGGAAGTAGTGCTGGTAATTATGGTAATTATTCTCTCACAATTACGTTTTACTACCTACCTGCCACTATTGCCAAGGCTATACAGGGGACCCCTGCAAGCATAGCTACATCTCAAAGCCAAGGGCATATTGCATGTTGCCCCTTACCATAGTGGCATACGGTGCAGGGTTGGGGCCGTCTGTGGTGGTGCAACTAACACAAAGACTCGACATTTTGCCAATAGATGCATCTAAGACCAACAATATCCCATTGTCTACTGCAGGGGCGCGGGGAACACAGCCCTAAGGGCCTATGTTCCTTTGTGTGTGTGTGTGTGTGTGTGTGTGTGTCTGTGTGTGTGTGTGTGTGTGTGTGTCTGTGTGTGTGTGTGTGTGTG